AACTTTTTAGATATCTGCTTTTTTTGTGCCGGAAAATTTTTATCCATAGAACTTTTTTTTTCCCTATCTTTTTCATCCGTGTGTCCTTCTTATTTTCCGGCAACTGCAATTCTCAAAAAAAAAGGCAATTAAAATGTAACAAAGATTATTTCGATTGACGATCTGCAATGATAGCGGATAATTTTAGGGCTAAAATCAAAAAAAAAAAAAAAAAAAGAAACGAGAAGTGAAGGGAAAAAAACTTGAACTTTTGATAAGAAAACAATGAGACATTTTGTTAACGCTGAAAGAAAAAAAACCCGAGAAGCAAATTTAAAAATGAACAACAACAACAACAAAAAAAAGTTATTGTAATGTTTAAAGATTATATGTATGTGTATCATTGGGCTGTTTGGTGTGTAAAGAAAATGTTTGATAGAACTGAAAAAAAAAAACTTTTTTTGCTTCAACAGGCAATTTTCAATTCTGTTTTCGTATTGCTGCTGCTTGTTGCTTTGCTGATTGTCGTTTGGTTGATGCTGCTGCTGGCTGTTGTTTCTGATGATCGGCTGCCTTTGCACACTGTTGGCGAGATGCTGTTGCTGTCGACGTTTCCTATGTTGCTGTCGTTGGCGATCGCAGCAGCAGGTTTTGGTGATGATGGTAGTGTTTCAACACTGATTTTTCCTTGTTTTTTTTTCGCAACAACGATTTTTGGTCATTGGGCTTCACTCCTTTAATTCTTTTTCCGCTGTATGGAAACGGAGGTTGGTTACTGACTGTGAAATTTCAGTAACACTTAGGTCAATGGATAACAATGTATCAATTGTCTGTAATGAATGCGTAATGAACAGTGATACACAGAAGACTCAGTAAAGCTCCAGTAGAAGTTGTAGTGAGCGTAGCATAACTGTAGTCATGTCGATATCGGATACGTATTCGCCTTGCCACAATTTAGTGGAACTTCGTGGAAGTATTTTTAGTAGAATCTGAGCACGCTGGTAGAATTTTGTCAAGTGAACGTTATTGTATCCAGTTCTTTCTTTTGTAGTTAAACTTCCTTAGTTTTTAACTACTGAATTTTTTATATTTATTTTAGTTGTTTAAATTGAGGCAAGGACAATTTCGCTTAATTAAAAATGAGTAGAAAATTTTCTTAGTGTTCTTTTTTTTGTTTCTTTTTTTTGTTTTTATTTTTGTTTTTCCCTTCTTAAGCTATATTTCAACTCAACTTCTTTTTTTTCTTTTTTTGAGAGGGGAGAGAAGAGGGGGTAATAATATATGGCAACGTTTTCACAATGCATTTGATATTGGGGGGAAATGTCAAAACTAAAGAAAAATAATTTTTTAGGCAGTAATTTTGGTTGATACTTTACAGTAAAAAATTCTTCTTCATCAAACGTCTTCTGTTCTTTCAAGTTTTGCTAGTTGTTTTTCTGTTCTGCTGCATTTGGTTGAATGAAGAGAACGAGTCAAAACTGTTGCAGTTTGTTTTTGTAGAGGCTTCGGATTTTTGGTACCAAGCAACAACAAAATTTTTGATTCTGCTCGATGATAAAACGTATCGCTTTTTTCCTTTGTCGACTTTCTGTATTTTCTTTATGGGTTCGATAAAAGGAAACATTTTTTAATGCTTTCTGCTTTTGGCCAAGAAGAGGAAGTGAGAAATTGATGAGCAGTGGTTTTTTTTTGCACTAATATTTTATGAATAATTTTTTTTTTGTTTATGAAATAATAATTGCTATTTTCTCTCTAAATTAGCTTCTCAGTTTAATCGCTCTTTTTTCCTTGTTTTGTCCCTTATCCATCTCCACAGTTCCTCTTCACCAGTACTGTTTTATAATTACCTTCTTGTTTTTTCAGTTCTTGTGAATTTTATAAATAGTTTTTTTTTTTTTTAATTGAAATTTGTCTTTTTTTTTGTTTTTTATTTGCTAATATTTTGTTACTGTTTGCCGATTGATTTGTTTTGTAAAAAAAATGGAAGTTGTTTTTTGTTTTTCTTTTTTTTTTTTATTATCGGATTTTTAGCAATTATTTTTGTTTTTGTTCTGTATTTTCTGTACGCTTTTGAAAAGCATTTGTTTTTGGAGACTTAGACAGTAAGCCGGCCACCACTGGATTCTAGGCCTACAGTCTCTTTCTTTTTAATCGTTTATGGGCATGCAGTTCTACAAGGGCTAGGGCAAGACCAAACTGCATGGGTTTTGTTAGTCCAGGTACGGCAAAACGAGTCTAATGATGGCAGATGCGACTAACTGTTTTCGATGATATATTATTGCGTCTCGTTCGTGAACCATACTGTAACTGCACTTGCTACTCTTTCAGTGTTTCAGGTTCAACTAGTATTGCATGAATTCTTGATCCCCTTTCTCCTGAGCGACTTGTTGGCCAACTACCGCTTTTACGTCAATTTTTGGATTGGTTTTAAAGTCTGAATTTATAATTAATT